GCTGGGTCTCCCAGTTAAGTTTTAAGTGTAAAGTTCTGAAGGTAAGAACTAGGTCTTTCATTTCTTCTCTCTCCACATGATTCTGCTTGTCTATTTCTCCCCTCTCTCCCACCCTAGGAGTCCCTCCCAGAACTCACTGTCTGACAGCATCAGGGATGTGGATATGTTCCAAGGAGATGAGCTGGGCCAGCTCTCCTAGACTGTCCAGAAAACGAACCTTTCTGCTAAACTTGGAACTCAGGATAGAGGAAAAGTCATGTGTATTTAAGATTAGAGAAACAGGTCTCATACATCTTCATAGAATACAAGGGTAATCAGTAGTTAGTTGGTACAGGGAAGAATGGTTAGAGCCAGAAAGGGTCTGGGCCCTGAATGTGAGGAAGAGAAAAGGGCAGTGGGTCCGAGGAGGATGCCTGTATCCCCTGAGGTAAATACCTGATAAAAGGCCGGAGCATCACCAGAAATGCCTTCACGTACCATGTGGCATGGACAACCAACAGTGCATGAAGGTTTTTTCGGAGTCTGAAGCAAAAAGTGTGGGATCATCACATTCTTCTTCTTAATCTGAGCCCCAAGCCCAGATGAAGGTCTCCTCTGTATCTTCTTCATACCCCCTTTGATCAACATCCATTTGCAATCCTCCATTAGGACTTACCCTTTGAGGTCTAACCCTCATTCTTCTAGCTGCAGTCTGAGGCCCTCACTTTTTTTTTTTTTGGTCTCTCATGCCCTCCTCATTCTAAAAAAATTCCTGAAATGTCTTCTGTCTCCAATCCACCCCAGCTTGGGAACACAGGCCTTCAGCTTACTTTCTCTGGACTCCCCTATCTGTAGTTTCCTATTTCGTCCTCATTCTTGTGTCTCCTTTGTTCCCTCTCGAGTTCTTTCTATTCCACAGAGTTCTTGTACAAGAACTCCAGGTGGCACATAGTCATTGACTAGAGGAGATCAAGAAAGGCTGAGAGAAAAAGGAAACATGAGCCTGGAAGGCAGGGACAGAGCAAAAATAAATGAGAGGAGGGATATTTGGGGAAAGGGAGAGAAGGAAAAAAGGGAACAGAGAAGAAAGGATGGGGGAAAATAAAGAGAGGGAGACCAAGGGAGGAGAAAGGAGGGGGTAGGAACAGCCAATAATCATGATCTTTGCCAGGCTTCTCACCGACGGTCCAGGGTATGGTAACATTGGCGGATCCAACTCAGAGGGGGTACCTGGGCTCGGCTTGTGCCTCCATTCAGGTGCACAAGCAGGTAATTCTCAGCTACTAATAGTTCTAGAGTCCCCACTATGTACCTGAGGGTGGAATTGAGTGGGGAGGGGGAATGAAGAGGAGAAAAGTGTAACACTGATTACTGATTATATTATAGGTCTTTTTGACTTCTTTTCCCCTCCCTCCTTCAGTCCCCTCTCCCCACAATTTTTCAGGTTTCCCTCCTCACCTAAACAGGTGCTCCATGATATAATTGTAGTTAGGGATGCTGTTTCTGGGTAGGTAACAGGAAGCAAAAAGGATAATAGCATTGAGGCCATCACCATGGTAACCTGGGGAGGACAGGATTAGGGGAAGGAAGGAAAAGAGAATTAGTGAAATCTGAGAGAAGTAGCTTGAGAGCAGACCAGGAGGGAAAGGGACAGGGAGTTAGGAAGTTAGAATGGTGATGGGGACTGATAGTCCCCAGCTCCTATATTTATCCTCCTGTCATCTCTTACCTCCATGAGACAGGACCTTCTTATAGGGTTCAATGACTGTCATATCCACTCGAAGCTCCCGATGTCCTATTCGGAACACCTTCCACCGATGACCATCCTCCCCAGCCACATCCCACACACAACCCTGGCCCAGTCTTTCAGCTGCTTCACTTGCCCCTAGGCCCTCTGTTTGGGGAAGCTCATCTAAAGAGACAGGAACAGGTTAGATGAATTTACACTCATTACTCTTGGGTGTAACAGAAGCAAAATGACCATGAGCACTAGGTTACATTCCCATTCATCTCCCTATCACCTCACTTCAACCTTTATTCTCCAATTCTCAGAGAATACAGCCAGAGTTTACCCACAGTGGGGACAACTGGTGGTCTTCTTCCATTTGGGGACTTATGCCCCAAATGAAAGTCCTTTCCAGCAACCAGTTATTTAATTTTTATGTGCCCACTAATTACTTTTATGGCCCTTTTGATATAAAGAGCTTGCAAATACAAATACACGTAAAATATGTATCTATGTATATGTGTGTGTATAACATATAAATTTATAAATGCATTATATTTAAGTACATAAAAAATGCACACAGATACACACATTCCTGGTTATGACTCTGTTAGCCTCACCTACTGCCTTATTAGCTTCTTTCCCATGCTGACCTCCCAGTTTTATTCCCATTTTCAAAATCAAAACATTTAGTTAGAAGACACCTTAAAGGCTATCTAGTTTGGTCACCTCAGTTTGCTCTGAGGCCTGAACAGAGGGCCTCAAATTGAGGTCTTCTGACTCTAAATCCAGTATGATTTTTATTGAACTTTTTTTTTTAACTGAATTTTTATCTCACTGGCAAGGAGTCTGTATCAGACCAGCCCCTTACCAGCTACTCTTTTAGTTCACAGAATGTAAAAGAGGGAATGAAGCCTAGGGGCCATCTAGTCCAACTTCTGCCAAAAAAAAAAAAAAAAAGACCCCTTTAGAATATTCCCGACCAGTGGCTATTCAGCCTCTGTTTGAAGACCACCATTGGGGGAACTGACTACTTTGTGAACAGCCCACTGCACTTGGACAATTCATATCTTAGATCAATCCTATTAACTTCGAGTGATTATTTCTCAGCTCTACCAGCTATACCCCTTACAGACTTGCTAACTACACCTTTACCCCCACTGGCCCCTTGCCCTCTTAATATCGTCTCCCACTTTATTAGCCCTGTTATTCTAGCCTGATCCATTCATGCCCTCAGCCCTCAGTTATTCTAGCTCAGTTCCTACCTTCCCATTCAAAGTCAGGCTCGCTGTCCAGCTGTTCCGAGTCTGAGGGTGTCTCCAAATCATCCACATCTAGGTCAGAGCTACCATGTGGGGAAGAAGGTGTGGAGTGGGTGGGAGAGGCTTCTTTATCTCCTGTGTCCTCCCCTAAGCTCAGCTGGAGCTCTGGGGCTGAAAGGCGCTTCCGCATGTGACGCCTGCCACATAGTGCTAAAGTGTTTAAGGGACCTAGGGCAACAGGGAGAAGAGAACTGAAGAGAGGAAAAAGGTAAATTAAACAGCTTGGGAACAGCAAGGGGGGAGGGAGGAGGGTGGACCTGATGAGAGGAACACAAGAGAAGGGGAACTGGGCAAGTATTGAGGATGGCAAAGGGAGGCACCCCCTCCCCACAGTAAAAACCCAGGCTTGGTACCCAGCTCTGCCCTTACTCACCCATCTGGGTACCTTCTCTACTGTCCTCTGGATCTTCAGAGGAATGGATCTCCTCAGGGAGCAGTCTGGGATATGGGAAATTAATTAGTTGAAGAGAACAGGAAGAAATTGGGCATAGCGTGCTAAATCCTGCTCTTCCCACGGTCACTTTGCCACTCCTGTCTCCCCACTGATGCTCTCAGGGCTTCCTGATCCTCTCTTCCTATACATCCCGACTCCACTTTCTTTTTCCCCATCCTCTCACCGGGGGAACTCTTCATCTTGCCACTCTTCCTTTAATTCCACTTCCCCAAATCTCAGTGATGGTCCCGGCTCTTCTGCTTCCACATTCTCTCCGGCCCTGAGACCATTGCCAAGGTACAAAGGAATTGAGAAGCAGTTAGCTGGGCAGCATTACTCTTGGGAGTAACAGGAAGCAGCAGAAGGCACAAACGGCAGGCCTGTAACAGAATCTAGCCAGACGTCTTTTCCCACCCTCCAGGTGAACCGACTTATCCCTACTCTGGTTCTGGGGACAGACTCAGGAAGGTGCATGACTTGACTACCTTTCACCTCTCTAACTCAGTTTCCCCACCTACAAAGTTGAGAGGTAGTCCACATTGCAACTGGCGTGAATCCAGAACAGATCACCCAGCTGTTCCCTTACAGCTGAGGAAGACGACAACCAGTCAGGCCTGCCTTTCCCCAACCTTTTGTGGGGTGGGGCCAGGGAAATCAAGGTATGGGTCAACATCAGCTAGGAACAAGAAAACAGTCATGAAGGTTGTGGTCCCAGTTTCCTTGTTTTGGAGAGTGTGGATTAGAACCGAAAGCATGGATAGATTCACCACGTTCTCCCATTTTGCCCAAGGAGTTCTTCTGGGGTTCTTTCAACCCACCTGTCTCTATAGTTTCTATTTAAAACTATCCCTGTTCTTTGCCAAAAGTAATGACTTTGTCCCATCTCCTCTACAAAACCAGCCTGAGCTTCAGCTTGAGTCAAATTAATGGGACTTAAAGAGATGCTCCCTCAAGACCAATGACACCAGGTTTTCAAGAGGCATCCAGGAGAGAGGGGAAGGCCCAGCACTTACCCAGGATCTCTTGGTTCCTGTAAAGTTCCCATCTTCACAAGTCTCACTGCTCTCTAAACATCTAAGATGAGGGGTGGAGGAAGCTCCCTGTCCCCTCTTCCCTCTTGTGCTGCTGTCTCAGTGACTGCTCTTATGGCCTCCAAAGGAGGAGGGAGAGAGAGGGAAGTAAACTCATCTTCAAACAGGTTTTGCCACCTCCCCTCCCAAAGAGGCTTGCCCAAAGAAAATCCACCTCTTTATGCTGAGGTGTGGGGAGTGGGTGGGCGGGAAGAGAACGCTCTGGTTCCCAGACTAGATTTCCAAGGGATAGGTAGTTTGGGGTACAATGAAAAAGAGAGAATCTGTGTATGTGAAGAACTGGCCTTTCTTCTTTCTCTCCTAGCCCTCTGGAGGTGCTTAAGAGAAAGCCAGTACCTCTTATGTCCCTCTCCACAGTCCCAAAACTGATTTGATTCTTGGCAGTCTCCCTAAATTAAGCTGGGTAAAGTAGGGAAGGGTGTAGGCCTCTATTAACAGAGAAAAAAGGCTCTCAAAGATGGCATTGTTTATTTTAGGAATGGATAAAGGGAGCTGGAGATGGGTAAGGGCAAAGCCACAGACCATCCATACTGAAGAGTAGAACTGGGGGTAAAAGAATGAGGTTCATAGGAGGAAGGCAAAAGGAAAGATTGCAAGAGTTTGTTTTTTTAAAAAGACAAAATGACACAGAACAGGAAAAATGCATTTAATGCCTTAACAAAGTGCAAAATAAAACTTCCCACAATTACAAAACACAAATTCCTTTGGTTCAGTGATTATGCCATTGCTTTTTATCTTTCATATGGCTGCAGACATCCTTCAAAGAAACAATCTTCCTACACACACACACACACACACACTCTCTCTCACACTCTCTCTCATCTCTCTGAGGAACAATGTCATGCCAAAGGGTGAGAGGTACCTAAATACTCAGTAAAGTTAACGGTAGCACCTTCTCTGGTCATCTGGGAACATAAAGAAGTGGCAGGGAAGCAGGCTTGTTGGAGGGGTACAGGAGGACACTAAAGGGGAAGAACAGAGGGCTGAGTCAAACACATGAAAGTCAGTGGAAGGCTCCTCCTAGATAAATCACTAAGGTATGGTATGATTCATATACTTGTATATGCTACATGAGGCTGAGTCCTTTGGCCTAATCTCTCTCTCTCTCTCTCTCTCTCTCTCTCACACACACACACACACACACACACACGAACATACACCCTACAATTTAGCAACACTGGACCTTGCTGGGCTGAGTTGGGAGAGGGAGAGTACATTCCCACTTCGCATCCTCAAGTGAAAATTGATGAAGAAAGAAGACAGAAAAATAGAGGGAGAGAGATAAAAGACTTACAGTTGGAAGAAATCTTAAGGGATCATTCAATGAAAATTAATTCATTTTATATAGGAGGAAACAGAAGCTCAGCAAGGTTGACTGACACCTACAGTCCCACAGTTAAGACTTGAATTCTCTTTCTTTTTAAATCTTTGTTACAAGGATAGTTCACTGGGTAGAAGAGTGAAGTGGGATATATTAAAAAATGTAAATACAAATTCAGATGTAAATACAAAGGACATCAATAAAAATAAAACCCAAAGTCAGCAGAAATCAAATCTCCAGACTGTCAGTCCAATTCTTTCCACAACACTAAGTGTTTTCCTAAATGAAGAGAGAGGAAATACTAGCAAAGAAGTAAGAAACATAAAAGAAATTGATGGTAGGGGAAGAGAGAAACAAGAGACAGATCAGAGACAGACTCAGAGAAAGACAGAGAGGCAGAGACACAAAGACAGAATGAACCACTGCTTCAGTTTTACTGTTCTGAGAGAAGTTTCTTGAAGGTGACAATGATTCACTGATTAGTTCAGACACTAATCTTTAAGAACCCCTGGCACTCTGGAAAACAGGACTAGAAGAACCCTGAAGCCTGGTAACCTGCTTAGAAAAGTGAGATTTGAATCTGGCCTCAAGCATAATCCTCTGCAATGCCAGATCTAATTTTATGGAACCAATTGAATGGATTTAACTTTCAAGTTAAACACTATCACCTCAATAATGGCAGAAAGAAAAATCATGGTCCTAGGTATCATAAATAGGCTGAAAACTGTAAGTTTCCAAAGTTACCTTCACTCTACCTAGCACAGAATACAGAGTCAAACACTTGATGAACACATGGATTTGTACCTCAGTTTCATGAGAGGAACCCAGTCTTTGTTCAGATAGGGGCCGAGAGCATTGCTGGAGTTCACCTGATACCATTTCCTTCTCCCTCTTAATATCTACCTTTTCATAGATCTGTGTGTGAGATGCTACACCCCTGGGTTGTAGAAGAATGAGGCCAGTGCAGATTTCCAGAATTAATCAATAAAGAAAATTGGCTGATTCATAGCAAATTGTCAGGGAAGGTAGAAAACCATCCCTATAGCCATCACATCTCCTTTCACTTCTATCTCCTTCCACATCTATGTGAATAGTGTACCTGGGTCCTGCAGCAATGAAGAGAATCACAGAAATTCCCTACATATTCCAAATCATGCATTCAAGCTGGGCTGGGCACCTTCTCCCACTATGTTCTGCAATGTCCCCCTATTCCCACCCCACAGATCACTTCTTCTTTTGGGGAGGACTGGTGGAGGAACGTGCTATTGTGATCTGGCTACATTTCTCAAAGATAGCCTCAGCTGAAAGTTTAGGTAGTCCCCGATCCAGAGGGCACTCGTCTACTAAGCTGTTCATAGGCGTGGGGGGCAGCACGGGTTCCTCGTCATCTCTACACATTTCAGGAATCAGGGTATTAATGGCTTTGCCCAGTTCATCATCCATCTGCTCCTGAGAGCAGCCTTCTGGCCCAGGTGTTCCTGAAGGTGTCTTCATGGCACCAGGATGCCCCCATAGGGCATCTCTGAGGATGGGGAGAACTTTCTTCCTAGAAGCAAGAGCATTTCCTTGGAAATAGGCCCTGAGATTAGGGTGGTGGGACGGGGCTGGAGTCAGATTCAGAGGTGGACAGCGGGAACATTCCAAGGCTTCACAGATCTAAGGAAGAAGAGATAAGAATGAATGAAGTCTATCTCCTAAGCTGAGCTCCTAAAATAGTCTCATCCTAAAGACAAAGGGGGTAATCTCATGCTTGAGATTTTACTCTTGTCCCTAGCTGTGGAGAGAGAAGCACTTACCTAGAGAAGAAAGGGAAAAAACTGTAGAGCTGGAATGAACAATCAAATGCAAGGGAAGGAGGATATGGTGGAGGATATTGAGAAGAATGAAAACCAGCCTCCCAAGAGAGGCAATCTGGATGATATATGGTACAAGCGTGGGGAACCTGGAGCCTCGAGGCCACAAGTGGCCCTCTAAGTCCTCAAGTTTAGCCTTTTGACTGAATCCAAACTTCACAGAACAAATCCCCTTAATAAAAGGATTTGTTCTGTAAAACCCAAACACCTAGAAGGCCACTTGGAGCCTCAAGGCTGTGGGTTCCACACCCCCAGCACAATCTGAGAAGGGGGACAGAAGGGCCTTGGACTCAGTAATAGTAAGGGAAATGAAGGACTGTTTCCTGCTTCCCTTAATACTCTCTGCCTTCTGAGACTGAATCAAATTGTCCAGCCAGGGCAGCTGGGGATAGGGTAGAGAAAGGGACAGAGGAAAGGATGGATATAACTTATTTAAGTGAATAAAAGTGTCTGGTTATAATTAGATCAGTCCGTGGCATCTCCTATCGCCCTAGGAGTCCCTTTGCCTTTCTGTTTAGCTTAAAATTTTTCCCTGAATTAATCAGTAACCATCAAGAGGTGAGAAAAGGGGCAGATGAGGCCAGATGGTTAACAAGAAGATTGGGAAAGGAGCCAAGGCTACCTTCTCACAACCCTTTCTATAAGAATATCACCCAATAACTCATAACCCAATTAATTTGTTCATGGTGAGGAAAATTCACCTGAATTTTACAGGGGAATGGATAGAATCAGGTACAGAAAGGAGTAGGTGAGATCTGAATGGGGAAATACTTTGGTGGACATGGATAAGAGATGAGTGGCTAAGTAAAGAGAACCCAGAACTGATCATCAATTTAGAATAGTTCCATTCAAATAGATTTAAAGTTCCTTAAAGGTAGAGACTATGATCCATGTTTCTGCTGTAACCTCTCCTGCCACCAACAGCTAGGATAAAGCTATAACCTCTGTAACATTCCAAACAAAAATATCAGGATCTACTCAGGGTGAGCTGCCAAAAGAGTTCCTAACCCTATGGTCAGACGGAAGTTAGGTCAAAGAGCTACAGACTCACCATACTCTGGAGGTCCATGCTAGGACAGAAAACAACCAGATGCCTCACTGGCTCATTATGAGGGTTGAAATTGATAGTCATCGCAACAAGGGCATCATAGCCTTGAGCTTGGCAGAAGATATCTAGCTCTGCCATGAGGTTGGATCTCTGAAGGAAGATCTGGAAAAAAAAAAGGGGGGGGGAAGGGACACATAAGACCTATACAAAGGCACTCACCAATAAAAAGCTCATGTTTTCATGTAGTATGCTAGTGTACAAAGAAAATTACCTAATCTGTACAAATATTTTTTTGACTACCCACTACGTATCTTATTATTCATGTAATACCATGCGAAGTGCAATTGGGGATACAAAAGAAATAAAAGAGTTTTTGTCTCCAATAAGCTTTTAAAATCTTACAGTCACAGCTTCTACATTAAGGGACCAGAGGGCTTGGAATATAATATTCCAGACATCAAAGGAGATAGGATTACAACCAAGAATCTCCTACCCAGCGAAACTGAGTATAATCCTTCAGGAGAAAAAATGGACATTCAGTGAAATAGAGGACTTTCAAGCATTCTTGATGAAGAGACCAGAGCTGAACAGAAAATCTGACTTTCAAATACAAGACTCAAGAGAAACATGAAGAGGTAAACAGGAAAGAGAAATGACAAGGGACTTATTAAGGTTGAACTGTTTACATTCCTGTATGGAAAGCTGATATTTGTAACTCATGAGACCTTTGTCAGTATTAGGGTAGTTGGAGGGAAAAAATTATATGTATGTATGTATATAGACAGATAGATAGATAGATAGATAGAGGGCACAGGGTAAGTTGAAGATGAAGGAGTAATATCTGGAGAATTAAATTAAGGGGTGAGAGAGGATTATACTGGGAGGAGAAAGGGAGATGTAAAATGGGGTAAATTATCTCACATAAAACAAGACAAGAAAAGGCTTTTATAGTGGAGGGGAAATGGGGGAAGGTGAGAGGGAATGAGTGAATCTTATTCTCATGGGATTTGGCTTAAGGAGGGAATAACATACATACGCATTTGGGTATGGAAATCTATCTTACTCTACAGGAAAATGGGGGGGAAGGGGACAAGAGAGCAGGGAGATGATACAGGGGAGGGCAGACTGGGGAAAGGGGTAATCAGAAGCAAATACTTCTAAGGAGGGACAAGGTCAAATGAGAGAATAGAATAAATTGGGGGTAGGATAGGATTAAGCAAAATATACTTAGTTTTTCACAACATGATTACTATGGAAGTATTTTGCATGACTACACATGTATAACCTGTATCGAGTTGCTTGCCTTTCTCAATGAGGGTGGGTGGGAAGGGAGGAAGGGAGAAAATTTGGAACCCAAAGTTTTAAAAACAAATGTTAAAAAAAATTGTTTTGACATGCAACTGGGAAATAAGATATACAGAAAATGGGGTATAGAAATCTATCCTGCCCTAGAGGAAAACTGAAGGGGAGGGAGAGATAGAATGGAGGGCAGATTAGGGGAAGGGGTATTCAGAATGCATGCCATCTTGAGGTGGGGGGACAAGATGGGGAGAAAAAAAATTTGGAACTCAAAATCTTACGTAGTTCCTCATCTTCTAGGTGCTTATATACAAACAGAAAAATAATAATAATGCACACAAAGTGAAGGACAGACACAGGACAACAGAAATATTTCCCCACTTATTCTCTGCAAATTCATGATCTTCATTCACATTTTAACGTTTTTTAAATGAAAATTTAAGTCTTACTGCAAACGAACAAATAGCAATGGAACAAAAATACATATAAAACCATATCAACTGTATAATTAAAATAAATATAACTATAATAATATAACGTTATTTCCCCATTTGATCTCTTTTGTATATGTATACTTAAAGTTTTGTTATTATTTTTTACGTAGTTGTCAAAATGGACTTTGTTCTTGTAATTCTTTGCATCAATTCATGTCTTTTCACACTTTTTGATATTCCTTATATCAATGTAATTCTTAACAATATTTTTAATAGTGCGATATATTGAAATACCACAACTTCACTGTTCAGTCATTCCCATGTTGTTGTTATTTTATGGCTCAATTAATGGTATAAAACAAACCTAGAGGAATTACCCCATGAAGGCTGCTCATATACTCGACAATCCTTCAACTGTGCTAGTTAACACTAGGAAGGTCCAACTGTTCTATGAACAGAGGAGCACCTGGAAGGGAAACCTGATGGAGTCATAAATTTTCAAACGCTGAGCCTGGTTAAATTCTCTAATGGTTAGGTTCAGCCAAAGAATGGTTCATGCCACCCCAACTTAATTCCTATTGTACTTCCTGTCTAGTCCTGATCATAAAGCCCGGGAACAAACTGCATGTCCATACAAGCTTCTCCTAAACCTTAACTCATATTCTAATCACTAATCCTCTTCCACAGTCCCACTTGAATTTGGTTCACCTATGAACCACTGGGGATCCTTCTGAACCCCTGCTCCATCATTAATAAACTCTTCTACATCCTCAAAGTTTTCAAAAAGTATTCTTTCTACCTCTTCACCTGAATGGAAATCCAGGTCTCTCCTGAAGACATTCCAAGCCTCACTATCCTTTCCCCTAGTGGTCCTTCCTTCTCTGACTCATCCAAATCACAAAGCTAGGAAGAAGCTTCTGCTCCCCATAACCACTTCTAGATCACTATTCTATCACATTCATCAATAATCTTTCTTCTTTGGAAATCTCAAGCCCGGAGTCATTCTTGGGACCTCTTTTTCTCCTCACTTGCTGCCTCGTCATCATGGAAAAACTTCCCCCTGAGGCCCTGCTCTCTTGGTTGGTGACTCCTTCCCCAAGAACACCATCTTGGGAAGGACTCCACAGTCACATGTGGACTCACTCTGGAGACCTCTTCTCCTCACATGCCACCTTACCCTCATACATAAGTACTTTTTAGCTCCCCTGCATCATTGTAAGCTCCTTCAGGATACAGACTGTCGTATTTCTTGTTTTTTATACCCTTAGGGCTTAGAACGGCGCTTGGCATATAGTAGGCACATAATAAATGGTATCTCTGTCTCTCTGTGCATCAGTCTATGTAGCCATCTCTCCCCCTCTCCATCTGTCCTTCCATCCATCCCTCATTTAGGACCTCTAGATCATTCTTCCAAACTTTTCAATCACTTTAGTGTTCTGTTTTCCTCTTCCCTGCTATAATCCAATATTCATGATGACAAGTCCTCTAATGACACACTCGATTCCAATAACCTTCTCTATGCTATCTCTGCTACATGAAAATATGATCATGACTTAGACCTTACCATCTTTAAGAAATATATCACAATCTTGAAATTCCTCCCTCCACCCAAAATCTCATTTGTTAGTACAGTTTCACTCCTCAATTTATCTTTTGCTACTAATTTGTGTACAAGTTGTGCACCCCAACAGATAGTGTTTTTATTTTTTTACTTTTATACCCCTTTATTTTACTTTATTTTATTACTTTATATATATATATATTTTTATATATATGTATATACATTTAGACATGTATATATATTTATTTATATATTACTTTATTTTATACTTTTATACCCCTTAAGGGTCATGATGACTTCATTTTTTCTTTCTATCCCCCATACTTAGCACAGTACTTGGCATGCAGTGGATTATCATAAATGTCCAGAAGATTGACATGAACTTCCTATCTTTCCACCTCAAGGAATAGCTAGGAGGCCAGTTAGGCTGGAACTCAGACCGAGTGAAGGAGAGTAGTGTGTAAGAAGTATGGAAAGGCTAGCAGGAGGGGCATTAAAAGTCAGGCTAAGGAATTTACATTTTATCCCACAAGCCACAAAGAGTCACTGAAGATTTCTGAGTAGGGAATGACAAGGTCAGTCTCATGTGGAATAAATAGGAAGAGAGACTGGAAGCAGGAATTTCATCTTGATCTGATTCCTGACTGTTTTCTCTGGGACCTGCTAACTCTCTCATGAATTTTCAACTTCACCCTCACAAATGATACCTTCATGTCTGCCTACAAACACTCTCAGGTCTCCCCAATCAAAAAACAATCTACGTCTCTTAACCCATCTAAACCATTTAGCTACTCTCCCATTTTCTTTCTCCTCATCACTGATAAACCTCTTAAAATGGGGGTTTTCTTAAGGTTCTAAATCCTTCTTTTCTATGTGCTTTTCTTGTGCCTCACCTGCTAATTTCATTAACTCCTACAGTGTCAACTACTGCATGCATGCAGATGGTAGTGCACAAAACTCTTTCTTGATCTCTCTTCTGAGCTCCAACTGCCAATCAGACACCTCCACGTGGGTCTGGAAGTGGGTCTGAAGTCCACTCGTACCTCAGAGTTAACACGTTAAACAAATTAGTTTCTCTAACTACATAATTTGTGTCAATGCCACCACAATTCACTTAGTCCTCCATGTTCATATCGCTGGGGTTATTTTTTGACTCTTCCCTCTCCCCACATCTTCAGGTGATTACCCAGACTTCTTAATTCCACCCCTACAACATCTGTTGAACTTTATCTCACCTCTATTTTCACTGCTACCACCACAGTACAGACCCTTACCATCATCTAACTGGATTGCTATAACAAACCTCTTACAGTTCTTGCCACCACTTTATTTCCCCTCTAATCTGTTCTTCATACGTAATAGAATAATCTTGCCTTTAAAAAAATTATTTTTCTAATAGCAAGCAGTTGTTTTCTTTCCCTCTCAATTTAAAAGTATAAAATAAAAACACAATCTTTATAACAAAAATGCAGAATAATTTTTAAAATGTACAGTCATTCTTGTCACTCTTCTGCTCAAAAACCTTCAGAGGCTCCTTATTGCTCACCAAGTACAGTTCAAACTTCCCTGCCTACAGAGTAAGGGCCTCTTCCAACTCAGTATCCTTTTATCTTGAATGTAAACAGAACTTCCGGGCTTATATGTATCAGCTTCAGTCTTGGGAACTTCCCAATGTACGTCTGTGGCTTTTGTGTTTCCCCAGAAACATTAGAATTTGGCTTATATATGACGACCCTCAGGTCTCAAGTGAATACTTAGAATAACAAAATAATAAATACAGGCCAGGCTTTTTTTAATCCAACAAACACAAAAAGACAAATCTACTTTCCTTCTCTAATAGGCCACACCTTCTGTAGGGACCTAGCTAG